ATCCATGAATGAATAAGTCCGGTTCTCACCCAAATTTAACCATCTCCAGTAATTACCCCAGTTTACAAAACAATAGTTGATGGGAATATTCCCAATAAGCCACGTTATATGCAAGGGTCTTTTTCGTTATGGGATATCTTGGCTTAGTTTCGATGTCTCATCGAAGTATCGCAGGCAGAACTATTATTGGATTTACCAGTTAGACGATTCAGAAATTGATCCATGGTTATGTCAGCGGCAACTCTTCTCTCTGACCTTGGAACCGGTCGGCGTCTTAATCCACTCGGCGATTGCGAAGAGTTCCTTACTTCCGGATCTACCGGTTCACAAAATACAGTACGATTAGATAAGGGCTGACATCCATAGGTATGCAGAGCAAACGGCGAAATCCGGGAGCGGACCTCAGCCCTATGAGATGTTCCATGGTTGCACTGCAGATAGGTGGACATTCTTTTGTTAGATCGAGATTACCGCTTTGGTCTCGATGAACACGGCGATGACATTGTCACACCTATCAGGTTCTTAAAGTTTGCAACAAGCATCTGCCTGGATAGCTGCACGATCCTTATCCTTATTCTGATCCTGATCCTGCACCAGGACACTCTTGTTATTCTCCTGCGAGCTGACAGGTACGTCCAACGCAGGGTTCCTCCAGAAGAAATTGACCGGTTTCAACGAGACTATCATCTTCTCCGCCGGCATGACGGGCCAGTCCTCCACGCGAGGGTTATGCGTCGTCCCGAACGTGTGCCAGATCACGATATCCTCGTTGCGCACGCTGACTGGCGCCGGTCGCGATCGGATCCAGGAAGCGATCCCCTCTCCTCCCAGTGACTGCATCGTGTGCTCGCCTGCGCTGTACCGCTCCTCATCGCTGTATCGGGTCACCCAGACAGCGTGCTCGGCAAACTCAGAGCGCTTGAAGTGGTAGGATGACGGGTGCGCAATTACCATTTGCGAGTAGTGCGGCAGAAGCTTGTATCCGACTGGGCCCCCGGACATGGGGTTCTTGACATTCTCGTTGATGATCTTGAATACTCGGCCTTTGGTGACGTCAAGATCCAGGGGCGTTTCGGACTCAACGATGTGGTTCACAGTTGTGTATCCCACTCCGAAAGGGTTATGAACGCTGGGGTCATTGAAGGGCATTGCGTGGGATTCGTCCACCATCAAAGAGTTTTTGTGCCCGTCAATAGCTGGGTCTATTCGCAGAGAAAAGAGGTGCTGATGGTACGGCGCCATGACCCCGGGAGCCACTATGGTTCCATATGGCACTATCTGGCCCAAGTTGATGGGTGCTGTGGATAGAATGCCTGTTGCGCGGACCTCGTAGTTGACCGACGCATCTTGAGTAAAGTGAAATGCAAATATGTACTCGTAGTTCCCGACTGTGATGATCGTCTGCAGCACAAGAACGCGCGACCTTGTCACGACGGCATTCTGCGTCCGATAGTTGGTGTGCTTCCACAGTATACCGTCATCAATTTCGTGGCAGCAAACTACATTCGGTAGAACCATCGGGTCACCAGCAGAGGTGTGATGGTATCCATCAAAGTATTTGATATGGCCTAAGCAATCGCATCCTTTTATCCTTGTTAGCATTTCTTGCCGTCAGTCCAATTTGAATGAATGTTTACCCAGCTTGAGATTATTTGAATTCACACCGGCCAAGTTCGACCCCAGGTCGAAAGCAGCCTTGCGCGGATATGGGGCACGACTGTCGCCATACGGGACGAACATCTCAGACAGGGAGAGTCTGTAGAAGACGCTCCGACCATCATAGGTAATATCGTGGAGAGTCAAGCCCTCCCGCTGGATAAGGCACACAGTGTCAATTTGAAATCGACTGCTGTTCCTGGATGGTGACTCACATAGTTGAAGCCAACTCTCATCCGCCACTTCTCCCATGTGAGCAGATTCCCATGGACCTGAAACGAGGGCCCATCTGGCTGGACGACCTGGTACGGCTTGGTTGTAGTTCGCCTCTCAGTGACAAGATCGGGATGATATTCGCTTGTACGGTGGATCTTGTTCCGATCAAATGGCTTGACACCGACTGCACTGACAAGCCCAGTCCTATCGTGCTCACCCAAAGGTAGTGAAAGAACTCGTTTAACCGTGAGATCGCCTGACATCTCCGCACATATATCTAGTGGATACGCGTAATGGTTCGCATCAGCATGGTTCCCAAGGCGCATATAGAAGTAGCACTGTATGGAACGTCATTATTGCACTCTCCGACGTGTCCGAGTACTATACCATGATAATTCTCTCCGACATATCGTTCATGCCGTCGGTCCCATACGTCCAAGGCTCAATACACACCACAGCCTCCTCGGGGAGTTCCAGCAAACGAATAGCCTCCTGCACCTCGGCCGACGCAATGCAAGCATCCTCAGCAGCCTGCATTTCCTCCGTGTCGACATACGAGTGTCTTCCCGCGAGCTCTTTCTCTTTCGTGATCTTGCCTGTGTCCAATTCAATATGGACCTCGCGAAAATCTGCAGGTGTTTTCTTGTAGAATTGGACGAACGCAGTCCGCTTCGGAGCAGTGGCGTCCCGTTTGCCAGAACGCTCTGCCTCTAGATACGGTATCATCTGGGCTTTGGGAGGCTCCAAAAGGGTGACTACCCTGAAGACGAGTTTATCGCTCGGGTATGCATTTTTCAGGTGACGCACAGCCTGAATTGTCAGCTTACATTGCACAACAACCTCATGGGGCGAAGGCACGAACTTACCAACGATATCTCTGCCGGTGTCAATGGATCAAGGGGATGTGGGAGCATAGTCATGTTGAGTAGCTAGTCTATCGATTCGTATTGATGCAATCGACGATGGAAAACCGAAGTTGGGACACTGAACTATACTGAGGGGGAGACATGGTCTTTTTAGGTCCATGGGCACAGCCAAGCAGTCCGGGGCAGAGCAAAACCACATCATTGCCGCCGCAAATGCACCATCTAAGGAACTCTGGATACGCTGAACCTTTAGAGGTAGGTTGATGCGGAGTGCCACATCGATGGTGACTGATAGGTCAACACCTCCGATAGTCAAGTGCCGTGATAGGATGGGAAGTGGATGCTTTATCAACTTCAACCTTAGAGGTAAGGATTGTCAATGACAACTGATCCATAGAGCTTCTGAGTAAGAACGTCAATACGAGACGAATTCATCCCAATTGTCGCATTGGTTGTCAAGCAGGAGATGTTCTCGGCGTAAGTGAGAGCAAGATGCTCCCTTCGTAACCCCGCATCTCTTCATTTGCTTCGAGTATTACCTTACAAGTAAGCTGAAGAATAAGGGAGACTTTCAATACACACATCTGATGGATTACGATGGTATAAACCTTGCGAGGGGCACCTTGTGGAGCTTGAATAGTCTAAATCTAGGTCATGATAATAGTGGCGCCAGAAATAATCAAGCCTCCACCTGGGTCCCAATACTGTTTTATAGGGTAGTAAAAGGATATACACTGAAATGAAACAGATCAACATGAATTGTGAATGCAACGTAGAATGCCCGTACAATAACGCCAGTCGACTGGAAGACGATGCTTCATGTCCCTATCTGCCTTAAGTCTCAGTAGCAGTTGGCGAAATTGCGAGTATGACGACAAAAGAGGCTACGATCAAAGCGGCCGCAACAATTGCTACCAGAGCAACACTTCCACGGCTCGCCGGAAATTTACCCCTGATGATCCAATACTGACTTTCAAAATAGCGGTGGAACCCAATCAGAAGAATCATCAGGGCGATCCCAATGAACGTCGTTCCGAGAGGTTTGCCGATGTTCCGCAGGCGTTGTGATTCAGATGTGATCTTTATTGTTGCAGGATCATAGAAAGGGGGTGAAAGTAGAGAAGGGAACTGTTGAGAGGATACGTCGGAAGATGGTGCGGTGGACGCGTTGAGACGGAAGAGCTGGGTCACTGCGATGCCAATGGAAGCAAAAGCTAGCGAGGTTCTCAACCAGGCCAAAAACGTGCGTTCTAGCAGCCACAGCCGTTAACGAATGCTACAGAATGGAGATTGGAAAGAGGAGAAAAAGAAAAACCGAGACGTGGAGACACACCTAATGCAAGATGATCTCGAGCGACGCTTCCCTTATTTTCGAGTTCTACACTGCCATACCTCTCCGCCAATCGAGTATACCACGCGACATGTGAATCGTCCAAATCCGACTGATCGTTTGATGCATCGTTGTTCCCTCCATTTCGTTGTGCTGAATTCTTTGCATGACCGTTGCCAGATCCGGAATCTCGATTTCTCAGGCCATCGGTTGAACCGGATTGCTGCTGTGCGGAGTGCCCGTTACTTACAGCTCGATCAGCACCGTTACTTGCCTGTGGCAGGGCTGATGGTGACATGCGTGCTGAACTCGAGGTTTCGGATGGAGAGGATGAAGAGCGATGCGTTCTAGTTGCCTCTCTGGAGTGGGATTCAGTCAGACCCGAGTGGTCCATGATGGCGTGCTCGCCAAAATGCAGAACTAACAGTAGGCCAATTCAGTATTTGCTTATTTGAAAGGGCACACCATCAGCTGCCAGATGGAGATATATCGACCGTTACTTCTCCAGATTGTCTTCCAGGTTTCACATCGACCATGGCCAGAGGTGCTGAGATGACGTTGGAATTGGTTAATATCCTGCCGTGATTTCCTGCCTCTTTCGCATTTATACAGCAGACTTCAGCTGTCCTTCCATCTGCTTCCTTCAGCTTGTTCTTACGCAAACAGGGTCTCCTTAGCCATTAGCGGTTAGTCTATTGGCTGATCACATGGTGACTGTAGATGACGCTAGCCTGCTTATGGCAACGCCGTCATAGTCCTTTTTTAGCAGGCGGTGTGTTGATACGCCCCATCTGCCGGCGAAAGCACCTGTGACACCACTTTATTTCGTTGCCAGCTCAGTAGTACTGTTATTGTGGAGTCAAGTGATATACAATTCGAGGTCACTTGCCAGCATCTGACAGAACCAGATCGTTTTTGATGCGAACTTCTACATGATGGCTTCTCATGCGACTATGTCGTCTCCGCCAGCAGGACCCAAGCTTGATTTGTCCAAGAAGTTATCCGAGCTGCGAGCTAGTCGCAAGTCTCACTCTGGCCTCTCGTCCAGAGAGCCCGCCCCGGTGACACCTCCTCTCCCCAGTCCACCAGATCTATCGACTCATACCTATGCACGACCTGTTCGGCGTATCCTATCGCGGAAAGACCACGAAACTTTTCTTGCATCGTCGACCTACACTCTCGTTGTCGGCTTCATTTTCGGCCTCTCTGATTCAGTAAGAGGACATGCGGTTACAGATAACAAAGACCAACCTGCCTCCCCAAACATCTCCAGAATTCTATCCGTGATAGATAATATTAGACAACTCGTTGACAAACATCCTTCCATTGACCAAGGCGGTTCAAGGTTCGGTAACCCGGCTTTCCGCGACCTCTTCGATGATGTGGCTGCGCAGAGTGCGACATGGCATAGAGATATCATCGGGCTACAGAATGCGGACGCCATAGAGGAAGTATCATCATATTTGGTCCACTCCCTGGGATCGCGGGACCGGTTGGATTATGGTTCAGGACATGAGTTGAACTTTATGATGTGGCTATTGTGCCTTCGACAGATGCAGATGATATCGACGGCAGACTTTGCAATGATCGTTTTCAGAGTGTATCTCGAGTATATGCATCTCATGCGGCAAGTACAAATGACTTATTACCTGGAGCCTGCTGGCTCACATGGTGTGTGGGGTTTGGATGACTACCATTTTCTGCCCTTCCTCTTCGGTGCCGCCCAGCTTGTGGATCATCCGTACATCACACCGTTAGCGATCCACAACACAGCAGTATTAGACGAAGAAGGAGACAGGTATATCTATCTGGATCAAGTGCGATGGGTAGACAGCGTGAAGACGGTCAAAGGCCTCCGGTGGCACAGTCCCATGCTGGATGACATCTCCGGTGCCAAAAATTGGCTGAAGATTGAAGGAGGCATGAAGAAAATGTTCATCAAGGAGGTCCTGGGCAAGTTACCCATTATGCAGCATTTTCTATTCGGCAGTCTGCTACCCGCTGACCCAAGCATGGGAGAGCGCACGGATGATGCGGATGAGGAGCTCCATGATCATGGAGATGGTAATCTTCACGCCCGTCACACTGATCATTTCGGAGATTGCTGCGGCATCAAAGTGCCGAGTACAGTGGCCGCTGGAGCCGAAATGAGGAAACGAATCGGCGGAACAGGTTTACGACCAATTCCTTTTGATTAGCGTCTACGTTCATGATGAATGAGTATAACCTTCATTAGATCTACGAATGGAGCGAGCAACCAAATTCTGTTTTCATACTAGGAGTAGCACAGGGTATTCCCGGCTTTTTGAGAAATTCACAGAATCATTTGAGCAAGAGAACTCACCATTTCCTATCCCAAGCAAACCCATTCAATAACTCTCCGTCAAAGTATGAGCTGTCTACCAACACCTGACCAAGAACACTAGACGCCAGACACCAGAAACCCACGAGAAAAGACAGCTATTTACCCATCCATAGACAACGCAGCCAAATCGCTCGTCAACTTGGTAACATAATTATCCGCCCTCCTATCATTATCCTTCTGGAGAATCCGCTCAAGCGACATCTTCGCGTCCTGCAGCCGCCGCTCGAGGACCGTTCCTGCAGCCTTGAGCACCTCCTCAGCCTTGTTATCAGCCACGATTACTTTTATCAGCATTCCCTTGTTGGGCGCTGCGCCTCGAGACAACCACAGAGTCGTCTTTTTGTGGCGCAGTTCCTGGACCGCCGTGTGAAGGATTTCGCTTTGGGTTAGTGGGTCGCCATGTAGGGGGAAGTGGACGTACCAGGTGTATCCTGTGGGCTCTTCGCCTCGGAGGTATTGAATGAGTTCGAGGAGGCCCATTTGATTGTTTGGCCCGTCTGTTTGGGTATGATTGTGTTTTGATGGGTTTGTAGAGGGCTGGTAGGGAAGTGAGCACTAATGAGCTGTAATGTATCGCTGATGCAATGATTGATGCCTTCAATGCGCTATTTATATACATTAAATGAGACGTCTGGATTGAAACTGAAGGTGCAGTATCAGACACGCAAGAAAGAAGACTGCATAGTTTGAGACCACACGAGGCTTGCATGCATCGTCGAATCTGCGAGACGAGTCTGGACCTTTAAGACAATACCGTTGTTTACTACCTGTGTTGCTCCTCTCAGATTCCTTTGTAGTTGCTCGCAGTTAAGGTCTTAGGACTAATAAAGCGCATATGGCAATAATTGCGTCAAGGTGCCTGTGCCTATCTTTCCGAAAGTTGACGTCTCATTTGATATCTTCAAGATACTGCAAACAGTGTTTCTTATTCAGCCACCCCAGAACGCCAACACACAAAACCCACACGAAAAATATCCCCCAAGGTCATTCGATCCTCTATCTACGCTCTTCTTACTTCCCTTCTGCATCCTCCAAACTCAAACTAGCCAGGCACTTCTCCGCCAGCCTCGTCTGCGCCCTACTGTGCATCTCCATTCTATGAAACTCCAAATGCCGCTGAGCAATGTGATACGCTGCACGCCGAACTGCCCCGGGGTCGGAGAATCGAGCCTGGACCTCAATCATGAAGCCATAAGTGGTATTCTCTAGGTTACGCGAGGAATAGATCTCGCAGCGGCCGGCTTGGATGGCGCTGCAGATGGCGTCGAAGAGGATGACCTTGTCGTGGGCGTAGCCGGAGGAGAGCGGCACATGGACGTACCACGTTGTGAGGGTGTCTGCTGTAATTGCTGTGAAGAGGTCGTCGTCGCCGTCGGTGAAGAGGCGTTCCATGATCGTCCGTGGGGAATATTCTAAAGATTTATGAATGGAAACCTTGGGGGCTTAAGTGGAATAGTTGAAGGATGATGGCAGAGCGACACGATGCAGCAAAAACATCGTCCTTGAGACTTTATAAGGAAACGAGCTGAAGCTCAATACAGAGACAGATCCCATGATTTAAGATCATACAGAGCATTGAGGTCAAAGAGAGACCGCTCAAGCTGGTAGGATATCCAGTCCAGTCGTATGAGGCTGTCATTGTATCCTGGTATTCAGCATGGCAAGAAGATACCTTTGAGGCAAGAACAAAGACGCAGTAACTAATGGATATCTCCTTGTTGTTGGGTTATCAAGCACAGCATCCTGCCAGGCTCTTGGTCATGGCCATCCTTTGTCCAGATCGAGTTTGTCCTCCACCAGACAAAGAGAGAACAAATGAACAAAGAAGCACACTCCCAGAATGCATCTTGGGCATCATGTCTTAGATTTGGAAACAGGGTTTCTTTGGAAAGTTTTAGTTACTATTCCTTCCATCCATATTACTTCTGGAAGTAGGCGAAGAAAAACGCTAATCCAAAATAGTAAATAATCACCTGACCATCGCCATCTACAACACCTTAGATCCACTTACAACACCCATCATCACCAGAACCACGCCAAGTAAAACATATAACCCTATAACTCCTGCCAACCAAACATATAAGCCCTGTCTTGGACGTCTGAATCCCCAACAAACCAAGAAAGAAAATACAAATGGCCCCCGGCGACGAATACGCAGCCGGCGGGGGCGGCAAACTCAAACTCAAAGGCTCCAAAGTCAGCGACGGCCGAGTAGAAAAGAAAAAGAAGAAGTCCAAGAAGAGCAAATCCGACAAGGAGGGTGAGGTTGGCTCCGCGCCGCCCGAAGCTAGACATCCCGATGAAGACCGGGGGAGCGAGGATCACCACCAGGACCACCACGCACACCCAGATGATACGGGTGCAACAGTAGGCAAGACAGAAGCAGAAAGGAAGTACGAAGAGGCGCGAAAGAAGAGGGTGCGTATCTCATTCTGTCTACAAACTCTACTTACGGTGGAGAGATCTACGAACAAAGGACAAAGCAGCTGATATCGGAGTAGCTCTTGGAACGTCTAAAGCGGGAAGGTGTCAAGACTCACAAGGAGCGAGTGGAGGAGTTGAATAAGTATTTGAGCAGGTTGAGTGAACATCATGATATGTATGTGATTTTCATTCCTTACTCGCTTGAAATTGCACGGACTGACATGTGCTGCTATAGGCCGAAGATTGGACCCGGTTAAATGGGGCTCTGGAGACCTTTTCTTGTTATATATGTACACTCTTACTCAGTAGTCCATTGATTTTCGTTTCAAAGACTTCTTCATGAATTGACTCGGGTTCTCATTTCTCAAGCTCTTGGACGTAGCATGGGCCAATGCTCTAACGTCGTTGAACATCATATGACACGAGTTCAGGTTGAGCTCCCACTGGCCCAAACGTCTGGGATGGCTGGCGCGCTATGCGGCCTAAGCTACGAGGGTAGCTGCCTTAGTTGCCTCACTACAGCCTATCTACGACTCAAGGCCATTGGCGAGCTCCCCGAAATCGATGAGCTTTGGTGTCAACTGTACAACCAGTTATGTGCGACACTCGAGCATATCCCCGCGACAGCAGGTCCGAGCGGTCTACACTACGCAGAAAATCAGGACTGTAACAGAGGAAGAAAGGAGAAATAAAATCGTCTCAGTTGTAGATAGAACAGTAGTCTATGGGTGACTGAACACGATGCCGTGTCCACGCAACAAATCGAGATTGCAGATTGAGTGAATCATCAAAACTCCAATGTATAAACGCCACGCGTATGAATGATAATGAGATGGGCAAACAACCATCAAAAATAAAACCCAAAAGAGTATCTCCCAAACCCAAGGTCCCAAAATAAGAGGATTTGCATTATGTGCAGCCGACAAGAACAAAAACGAATTCGTTGATGCTCAAACCGGCCAAGGTATCAAATCGAGTCACAACACCGCGCTAAACTCAACGGCTTAAATCGACTGCGACGTAGGATGAAGATGTAGATCGAAAGAATCGTCGAAAGCGGAATTGCTTGAGATGCGAAAACCCGTCCCAGGTTCTCATACGCCCTTGATGACTTGGGTACGCTCGCTGTTGAGCTTGTCGGCGTTTCGGGCGTGAGACTCCTTCTTGCAGTCCTCTAACCCCGTACAGGAGTGAGCCTCCAGCATTCTGTGCTTCGAGCAGTAGTGTCCATTGCAAAAGCTGCAGTCACCGACGATCCGCTGTGCGGCTTCCTTGCACTCCTTGAAGTTGCAGCGAGGCTTGCGAGGCGCCATGTTGTTAGAAAGTTGCGACAAGAGCTAGGTAAGGTGGTTGGAAGGAAGAAGGAAGTCGAGGAAATATATATCGGCTCGGTTTGAGGAATGCACTCAAGAAGAAATCGAGGAGAACCGTATGGACGGATAGACGAGGTTGAGAGTATAGGTGATTTGATGGCGAGGTCGACGGTAAGATAAGGAGGTTCGAGAGCAAGGGTAGGGAGAAGAGGAGACAGTTGAATCAAGTCGATAAAGAAAGAGATAAGAAGGAGGAAGTAACTGCTACCAGCGGCTCGGCTATATATATGTCTTTTAAAGAGGATCGGAAAGCAGACCGATGATCGGAAAGCACGGGAGTGGAACAATAGGTGGTATCTAATGAAAGGATGGGGGTTGAGTTTGGCTGGAAATTGAGGTGGCAGTGAGGCAAAAAAAGAAAAGTCAATTTGTACAGACGGATACAGAGACAGGAGGCGACGGGGAAGGGATTGCCTTAATAATTTATTAAAGAATGGATGGAGCCAGATGATGCTACGGATGAATAATATGAGTTAACATGGGAAGAACTGAGGAGAAACTGGAAGAGAGGGATGAATGCTGAGTCACAATACCCAGCCAGATAGTTAGTTAGGCTAGATTGCTTCATTTGGAGACATCTACGTAGGAGGTTGTATCATAGTAGCAACTAGTAATTATCAATGATACTGATAGTACAGTATAGTACACTAGTGCCGCCGCTGATCCAAAAGGGCTCCATTTTTCACTATACTTTTGTACATATCGAGTTACTCACTTACTACTACTGATCTAGTGTAAGTTTATAGCTACCTGGTGGAGGCAAAATCGGGGGTGGAGCCTGAGGCCTCTCAAAAGTTACTGTACAGAAAGGGAGTTTCCAAGTCCAAGTGTTCACTTGCCCGGCGCACGAGGTCGGTTTGCCTTCGGTACCACATCTTGCGATCATCTGCGGCATCATCGGAGGCGTCCTCGCGAAGTTGCAAAAGAATTATAAGCGTCAAGAGTTGGCAATATTGGTGTTGTAGTCTTCCGTAGACGAGGCGATACTCCGAGGCCAATGGCTCTTCATTTTGCAGTACTCTGTAGTATCCATTAAAACAATCGTTAGGTCTGGAGTATCAAGGAACTAAGAAGGCTTTCAAACACTAGACTAATAGTACAAGAAAGGGGAAAGGATCCAAAAGGCCAGTTCATCTTTACAGGATGTCGACTAATGACCAAGTCACTTTCCCCTTTCCGCTGGGCGAGGTGACGACTCCTGCGGAGTACCTTATGACCCCTATGAACGCACCGACCCATTTTGAATTCCAACTATGCATATTTAATGGAATAGCGCCTGCTGCTGAAAGGCATGCAAATTATCTCTACAAGTCAGATCATATAAGTCAGATCCTGCCTATTGATCATCACTTTCAAACCCGCCCGTAACAATGCAGGGCAACCACTGGAGCCTATGACCGAGCATGCTGAGTCCACCTGATCTGGGTCGCTACCGGTTTGATACAAGCCGTGCAAATATCAGCTATTATCTACTATACTAGCTGTTTCACTGCGCGGTATCAGTGTCTCTCGATTAAAGATAAGTCAACTGGTTCAAGTGACCGGCCGAACTGATGGCGCTCTTCATCTTGGATCTACTCCGTACTAGTCGGCCTTCTCCGCACCGAGATTGAGTCACGTGAAGTAGATATACTAGCACTCAGCAACTCGAATGACCAAAAAGAGCATCAAATCAATGCCTGACAGAAAATGGAAATTAGTCTGTATAACAGGGCCAGCAATTGTCCGTATGTCGATGAAATCCAGCCTGGAAATTGGCATTGTCGGAATCGCGTGCAGATTCTTGCGGTTGGCGCAACTTGATGAAACTGCAACGGTGCGGAGTAAAAGCCACTAGCTATCTATCTAGCTATCTTCAGGAAAGGTAGCTACTTACCTCGGGAAGGCGAAGACCCCCAATAACGCAAGTTTCCTTGGTCCCTCGCAACAATTAACCTCTTTTCCTTCGAAGATGAGCAACACATGATAAGCTGGGACGGGGTAGTCATTTACCATCTCAAGTAAGTCGGTTGAAAACGCCACTAACTGCACTATTGTAGCTACCCACATCTGGCCTGCAGAGATAGTACAATATACTTTTGAGTTGGCAGATGTGCGTGGTTCCATTAAGTTAGCCGATTTTGATCCATATGATAAGGACAGAAAGCGCTAGGTTACCTCGTTGGCATACCTACCTTAGAGGTAGACAGATAGGTATCACTGTCGGTATGGAGTACTATCAGGTACCTCGTAGCGCTAGCACTTGTTGACAGCTCACGACAATGCCGAAACACGAAGAAAGAACAAAATATGTGAAGAAAATTAGCTCAGGCCATCTTCCTTTGGCAGAACCATCCATCTCCTCCAAATTTCAGACACCCACAGTCACAGCGGGGCGCCAGCAGATTTGTCACGTCAGATTGGCATTCAAGGTTAGCATTCGCCTCAGGCCATGACAGCCATTTTTTATTTATATGTTCCAGATATCATATCGAGTCAAAGGGATATGCAACCGCGCTCTCTTTTGAATACTCGCCTACCCGCCGCCTGTTCCGCCCATATCTGGTTTATGCAATATGTGCTTCTGTATAGTTGATCGATTCCACCATCGCCAAGTACCTAGTGCATGTGGAAGATGGATGATGCACGTACTCCGTGGTCCATGCGTTGTCAATCACAGTTGACGATGTTGGGCTCATACACTATCTACCTGCAGCGCCAACGCCTCGCAGCGGTAAGGCTTACGACTGTATCATGGCAGGATCGCCAAATGTCCGTGCTCTGATAAGAGCATGCACGCTTCTACTACCTCTGTATGTAGCTCAAACTCTCAGTAAGTGGTTTCCGGGGTCTGAAAATGCTGGACATCCGATGTCGCATTATTCGTCTCTATCTCCTCCTATAACGTCTTGCCTGAAACCTTTTTCCATGGAGCAACGCCCTTGATCACGCGTAGGAGGATTCGCAAGGATATAGCAAAGTAAAACTAACGGTAAACGCCGCTTGCCAAAGTTTAACCCATCAGAAAAAGCCATAGCAACAGCGCAAAGGAAATCAAGGAGCAAACGCCGATTCGCAGAATTTAACCATCCACTACGCAGTGGTCGTGATCACATCCCCATCTCCTTCTCCTTGCCCGCATCTGGGTCCAGATAGTCTTCTCTTTCTGCTGCCTCATATTCACCAACGAGGTCCATCACTACAGCCCGCGCTTCGTCAAATTCGCCAAGACCGTCCGTAAAGGGGCTTTCCTTCTTGTACTGTTCCAAAAATGCGTTTCGTTTCCGCAGGCGGTCGTACTGTTGGACAATCCGTTTGAAGAGAGTCGCCACTGATGTGTGATTCGCCAGCATCAGGCCGCTTACGCGGTGCGTGTTTTGTATGTATGGAGATTTCTTGGTCAAGGCAACTTGGATACTGGCCGGACCCCAAGGAATAAATGATGCCAAACGTCGCTCGCGGATACGCAGCAAAGACTTATGCACATCTGTGGGATCTGCTTCTCCCTGGATGATGTTGAGAATACTCATGTAGCAACTGGACTTGCTCGGGTTGATTGAGACCATGCGGTTCTTCGGCTGTAGCAGGCGCCGCATAACGTCTAGAACGGTGGTTTTACGAACTGTCTTTGCTTGGTCGACATTGTCACCGGTAAAGGGCGTGTATGATGTGATCAGGAAATGGCTGCGAGGTGTAGGGATGAGAGAGGCGATGATTCCAACAAGATCATTGTGCATGTAACCGGGGTAACGGAGGGTGGTGGTAGAGGCTGACATGACGGTGGACACCTATTGAGAGTGAGCTTTGCTTGTATGCGGTTTACTTGCACTGAGGAAGACTCACAAGCTGATTTGTCTGCTGGAACGAAGGCTCTTGCACATGAAGTCTATCTGCAACAATCCGCGAAAGTGCACCATTGTCGAGAACAACCTGACCGCAACTTAGTCCTGTCAATGGGGTAGTCCGGTAGATGGAAACTTACCACAGAGTCAGCATTCTGTGTCAGCCTCCTCATGGCTAGCAGACTATTGTACGGATTGACCACGACGTCCGCCGACTGGGTATCTGGAAAAACGGAGTATGTCTGAATCAACTTCTTCGGAAACCTGTCATTCATCCGCTCGAGGATGAAGCTACCAAGTCCCGAGCCGGTTCCTCCTGCAATCGAATGCAGGAACATGAAGCCCTATAACGAAACACCAAATTAGCCCAACAATACTCATATGCGATCGCCAAGGATGTCCGATCCCTTCCACCTAAGTGTCTCACCTCTAAAGAGTCACTACCGTCCGCTTCTCGGTCAATCATGTCGAAGACCTCCTCCTGTACGACTTCGCCGGCGGCGTAGCCGGCACCCCAATTGTTTCCAGCACCAATGCCTTGCTGACCGATGAAGAAGTTCTCGGGATTGTAGATGTTCTTGTAGGGTCCACTTTGTATTGAGTTCAAAACCTGTCCATGCAAGCTCAGCTCAGATTCAGGAGAGAAATAAATCGCAGCGCATTGGTAGAGGGTGAATTCGTACTCTTGGTTCTAAGTCCAGAAGGATCGCTCGGGGGATATATCTGGTATCATCGCTCTGATTTCACCAGAGTCAGCTCACTCAATCCAAGCATCACATTCCCAGATTCATCACGCCACAAAAGCTCTTACCTGGTAGAAGAAGACATCCTTGCGATCCCCGCCTTCTGTCGCAAACTCCTCCAAGTTCCCATCCTGGCTAATCCCGTGCTCAAGGCAAAGCTGTTGCCAGAATTGACTGCCGACTGTAAAGAAATCAAGTTAGCGGGACCGTGGCATCGCAAGAGTGTCATGTTTAATGAGGTTGGTGGTTTGCGTCGCTTGAGATTTCATACCATTGTTGCCGCACTGGCCGGCTTGAATCGTAATTATTTCTCTGAAAACAACTTGAGTATTAGCTGACTTTATCTCACACAGAGGATCAGATAGAAATAATTGGGCAGATCGTGGCACATACCTGGGCATCGTTTTTCGTGACCACCAGAAGTAGTCGAGGTTATAGCCCACGCGTAGCGCGTTTTCGCGGGGAATCTTATTTTGGAGGTGGTGGGCCTCAGGTGCACAACGTTAGGTAGCTGTCAGTGGTGTCTGAAACCTTTCCAAAGCAATGGAATCATAGAACCGAAAGTGTGAAATCAATTAATTGAACTGAACCATTAACTGGCACCATGTATATGAATGATTAAATTCGTTATTTTACCCTGCTTTTTTGATGTCAATCTGCACGCCGCTTTCCACTCCACGTCTTGGTCCTGAAGTAACCATTATGCTAAACCACAATCTACGTGTCAAATCTGGACCATGTAAATTCACTGAGCATCGTGCAGCTGACCGTGGCATGCCATGGACTTGCATTTGCTGTATGCCTTATATGTGCTGGGAAAAGACGAAGTACGCCATGCTTAGGTGTCTCAGAATCCCGCCTTGCAAGCCGTCACAAGCATGCCTGCCCCGGCGACTACGCCATCCACTATCCTCACTCGTCGGCCATGTCGTTCACCATATGCCCTGATACAGCCATCTCGCACCGCTTCCTCCATGCCTGCCATCCCTGCACACCCCATACAAATGGCACTTACAGGATGCGACGTGCTCTTAATGAGCCTCTCTGTCGCATCACTGGTCCTTCTCCTCACCTCTTCGGCAGGCGTAGTATGTAATTCACCGGCTGTCAATCCAGTGGTCTCCACACCGGTAAAGCGAGCAGTAGAGCCGCCGCTGTCGCCAGAATTCACGATCATCTCTGTGACCGCTCTTGTCAGTTCGTCTCTCCAGATGCTCCCAGTCGTAACTATGCCGAAGGTGTCCTTCGCTTGGGCTTTATGAAAGTTTGCATCTCCCATCAGATGGAAAGAGCTAATGAGGGAGAGAGAGGTCAAGACACTAGCTTCGAATATGCCTGTCACATATTTCTTTCGGCACTCCGGTATTGCGGAGTCTTTTCTGGAGGACGTCTGCTCATATTCTGTGATCGCCTCTTTCAGCATGCCGACTAAAGGATGAGCGGAATAACATGCCACAAGAAATGCATCATATCTTGGAACAAGCGGTTCGACAAAGGGCCTGCAATGCAAGGCTGATGTGATAGAATCCTCTCCAGAGTTGATGCTGGGCACTCCGATGATAATGCGCCCATCCGGGAGTGTGACAGACTCACTGGAAGGTGCCGTGAAGTAATCGAAGTGGATATCTGCATAATCCAAGCTCTCTAGGATGGGTTTGAGTGCGTTCGTCATGTGGGTTGACGTGTTTGGGTTGATGATTAGGACCGAGTATCGATGGTTGTCGTTCGGTGCAGCCATCTTGGAGCAGCTTATTGCTATGAATTAATCTGGACTGTGATGCTGACCCGCTCAGATCCGATGTTCGTTGCTCTATATGCGATTATGCTGTATAGCTTTGGGAATTGGATGTTCCGACCGGATGACGTCTCCCAGGTGTCTGCAGCAATGTGTCTGGTTGTCCTCCCCACCAGGAGACACTAGTCCATGCTGAGGATCGAAGACTCCAATCTCAAGAAGCTTTCAAAAGCCGGCGTTTAAGCTCAAATAAGCTTAATCGCATTCTTGCAGGTCATGCTTGTATTCTCGACTACAATGTCTTACTCTGCCCACTCTATGATGAGATAAATGAGCAGATCTCGAGTGCGGGGTAAGGGAACACCAGCGTATCCATTCCACCTCAGGCGGACAGGTGTTTGAGGAATTCGGGCCTCGTATTCGCATCGTACCCCCTTCTTTAGCGGGCTACTGTGGGTATCGTTATCTTGTGTGTGGTCGTGAGATTGCTGTATTATTAATTAAGAATGTCCTGAATACAAATAGCGCAATGACCCTGAACCTCGTCATCCCGGCGGAAGGTAGACCTGACCTCACTGTTCCATCAGATTCCACCTTCAGCCTTTGAAGATCACCACGACTACACTCACACTTGAATCTCATAATGCCTTTGGTTGTGCCGTCCGCTACACCGAGAGTCATTCTCGGTTTGATGACCTTTGGGCCAGATGAGTCCGAAGGTGCTCGCATCACGTCCCTCGACGACTTTAACAAGTGCTTGGATCATCTCCAGCAGCAAGGTTACAACGAGGTCGATACTGCGCGAGTCTACGTGGGAGGAAAACAAGAGGCTTTCACAGCCCAAGCCAGGTGGAAGGAACGTGGGCTGACTCTAGCGACGAAATGGTACCCCCATACCCCCGGTGCACACAAAGCCGATGTTCTTCGTGAGAACCTCGAGCGTTCTTTGAAGGAACTGCAAACCGACCAAGTGGACATCTTCTACCTGCACGCCGCGGATCGATCTGTGCCTTTTGCTGAGACTCTGGAAGCCGTCAATGAGCTCCACAAGGAGGGAAAATTCGTGCAGTTGGGCTTGAGCAATTATACTGCTTTTGAAGTTGCGGAGATAGTTATACTCTGCAACGAGAGAGGTTGGGTTAGACCCACAATCTACCAGGCGATGTATAATGCTATCAGTAAGTATCCTCTTGCTGTGACGTAGATGTCTGCTATAAGGTCCCGTTCGAATTGTATTTACTGACGCTGATGAACACAGCGCGCAACATCGAAACGGAGCTCATCCCCGCCTGCAAGCGCTACGGAATTGACATCGTGGTCTATAATCCGCTGGCTGGTGGTCTGTTCTCTGGCAAATACAAGACTAAGGACATTCCTGCGGAAGGAAGATATAGTAATCAGTCTTCACATGGAACATTGTACCGGGGACGTTATTTCAAGGACGCGACATTCGACGCTCTGCGACTGATCGAGCCTGTTGCCGAAAGGCATGGCCTAACCATGCCCGAGATTGCGTTTCGCTGGATCCATCACCACTCCGCGCTCAACATGAAGGATAACGGCCGCGATGGTGTCATTATTGGCGTGAGCAGCCTCGCGCAGTTGGAAAACAACCTCAAGGATATCCAGAAGGGCCCCTTGCCTCAGGAAGTTGTCGACGTATTGGACCAAGCCTGGTTGATTGCGAAGCCGACTGCTCCAAACTACTGGCATCTCGACTTGAAATACACCTATGACACCCAAGCGGCCTTGTTCAAGCCTAAACCCAAGGCGTAGCTCAACCAACCACCGTATCTGGATTATACATTGCCCTTGTTCAGTAGATATTCGCAATTCACTCATACAAGCTTTCTTTGCGATTTTGTTCGTGCAGCATCATCCTGCGTCCGCGCCTGATTCTTCCATGTGGCAATCTGAAATACTTTCCATGTACTTAAGCCGTCCGCCGAAATTGAACCGAGCAAAGTCCTTCGGATCACGGGTAAGTGTCCGGCGTCATCCGTCCCACCCGCTTTGCTCAGAGCGAAGAAGGAAAGTTGAGTCCAAGACAAAGGATTGAGGAAAGATATCAAACGTGTAAACACGACATGGAGTCTTAATTTCTGAAGTTACGCCTCAGCTATTCATATCTCCAGTCCTGGGTAGGCAGTCCCGAATCCCGATGTCATATGTCGGCGTCCGAATTTCGGTCGGTTGTGGATCTCCACGTTTTTTGGCCCTGCAAAATTCGGTAACAAGCCCCATCTTGTTGTCTGAGATTGGATTCTAGAATGCTGATTGATAACAGTGTGGCCTACTCGGTACTTGCCTTTGGAATGGTAGACGTGCCAAGCAAACAGAGGATGAATTTTCGCGGAAATCGCTGCCGCTCACTGGAGCTTGTCTCCTATGAGAACTTTGGTTGAAGACTTGATTGCAGTATGTCTCTGCTGTAAAGGACATACGTGGGTTGACAATGAGCACGATCATCAAGTCTTGTCGAACCTCACTGTCGAGTTTCTTGAGTAGCAGCCGGCCTAGCAGAGGAGGGTCCCAAGACGCAGGGGCAGCAGAGGCCTCGCCTAATATACTTCCTTGCCGCTCCTCTCTTGATGAGTATCGACTTCCAGAGCAGCACAGTGGCTGGAGACGAATCGTGTATGGTTTCACACCATCGTACGTCTCCAATTTCCTCAAAGCCGGCTTCCCTCGGAGGGTCTGGTTAACCATGAGGTCCCTGGAAGCTACTAACACTCGTATCAGATGGTTTTCCGTTGTTATGGGAACTGGGATGATTTCCACCGCCTTAAATACCCTTCCTTATAATGGTCGCTGGCTTTATTGGATCTCGATCGTCGTCTTTGCCCTTAATGTCGCCATATTCGCACTGTGCAGCATTCTGAGTGTGCTCCGCTACATTATGTACCCGGAGACCCTTAACACTATCATGAATGTACCAGCTCAGTCAATGTTCTTGAGTACGTTTCCCATGGGACTAGCGACCATTGTGAACATGGTCTGCTTTGTGTGCGTCCCGGCGTGGGGGAATTGGACAAGAGGTTTCGCTTGGGCCTTGTGGATGATTGATGCTTGCCTTTCAGTTATCTCCGCATTATACCTGCCGTTCTCACTGTAAGTTTGGCTTGTTATGGGTGCGTACTTATTTGACTAAACAAAAGCAGAATGATTTCGAACGTCGATGCGCAGCTGTCCTCGATGACTGCGATCTGGCTCTTGCCAATTGCAAGTTGCGTCGTGGCTTCAGGGACTGGTGCAGTCGTTGCAGATCTCCTTTTGAATCCTAATCATGCATTATGGACTATTATCGTCAGCTATGTCCTATGGGGAGTCGGCATTTGTTTGTCGATGATCGTCTATGTTATCTACTTTCAACGGCTTACCGTGCACAAATTGCCGCATAAGGGAGTTATCATGAGCGTGTTCCTGCCGATGGGTCCTTTGGGATCTGGCACCTTTGCGTATGACCCCAGGACGAGCTTCAACATGATCTACACCTAACTCGATTTCAGGGCCATGAAACTCGGTACAGCTGGAAAGACTGTTCTATCGGAGACTCAAACGTTGAATGACAGCTCTGCCGCCTCGATAGTATATGTTGTAGGCGCAATGACCGCGCTAATCCTCTGGGCTTTTGGCCTTCCTTGGCTTTTCTTTGCGTTCGCATCTGTGCTGAAGTCGGGAAGGTTTCCATTCAACATGGGTTGGTGGGCGTTCACCTTTCCAGTTGGTGCGTATGCGATGGGAACATGCCAGTTAGGGAGGCAGCTGCCTTCTGCATTTTTTAAGGTCCTGGGAACAGTAAGTTTACATGAATTATTGATGTTGCGATAAAAGTCTAAGACTTTCATCAGGTCCTCTCGTTGATTGTCGTGATCCACTGGATGGTCATCTCTGTCAGTACACTCAAGGGAGTCGTCTCTGGAAAAATATTTGTTGCCCCCGGAGTCGCCAGTGTACAACGCCAGGGCAAAGAGGAGAATGATTTGGAAAGCATATCATAATCTCGATGTGGAATCCGCCCTGAATAACTGCATCCTGGCAGAGTCGAAGTTGAAAGTGGAGCGGCAATACAGTCTCCATCCTTACAAGGAATGTGAGAGAGTCATGCGAGAGACTGTATGCAACCATTATCTATCTCTTGATATCAACTCTCTCTTTCGTGACACGGAAACCAAGATATGTTCATGCATTCACAAGTACTTGGTTTGTAAAAGGACCAGATCTGGAATACGAACCCTATCGATGGTCTACAGCTTCGTCCTTCCCTCATGACGAGCCAAAGTGGAATTGTGCGTCATGAGAGAGACACGAGCCTCGTTTCCAACGTTATCGAGGGTGCTGACCCTATTCGCGCAGAGAAAGCTGCATCATGTGTCGCTTCGCCGAGCACCATGACCGAATCTAGCGTTGCATCTGGATTCCAAAGGTGAAAGAGGGTAGGATTCTAGCGCGCCATCTTCCATACGATTCCGTGGACCTTTCGGGTTGTTGTAGCGAAGACTGCACCATTCCTCACTAGGGCATTCTAGACAGCTCGAGGCAGGCTAGGAATCACCGAAAGGCACACCTCGCCACATAGCCCGAAACCTCATTGTACAGTTGTGCATAGTGCCCTTACATCAAGGTCTGGGCCGTCATGCAATTCGCATGGGATGATAATCGAGAACGCCGCCGATACTCACAGACTGGACGCTTTTATCGGCATACTGCAGATGTCGTTTCCGGCATTCCAGACCTCCCCGGTTAGCCTCAAATTGATCAGAATACTGCCTCAAATCGCGCATGCATCCCTTGCGTAGCCAAACTGCAGAAACAAGCTATTAGACCTACAAAGGATAGGGTGAGAAAATGAGCCGAACAATGACCGAACTCAATACCCGCAAACTCGACAGATCGTACGGCTTTCAGATCATAGAAATCATAAGTTTGACAAAGTATTCTCATGAGGAATTCCAGCGGGCATCACAGGCTTTCGCCTCAGACAACGGCAACAACCGATGCCG